TTAGGTAATAATTAGTTATTTCCGATAGAATTAATTTAAAATGACGATTAGTTTTCAATAAATTGGTGAAGATATCTGAGAGACAGGTCTTTGAGTTGATTCTCGCCGTAAAGTTTGGCCAGTTTTATGAGTTGAGGACACGTCTCGTCACTCACTTCGGGACACAAACCGTACAACAATTGGAGGAATGCATGCATTGAGTCGTGAGAATAGGGTTCAGACGAAATATCTATCACTCCATTTGATCCCAACTTCTGGACACAAAATGACCAAAACTTTGGGTTTCTTTGGCTTAAAATGAATTCATGGCATAAAATGTGTTTCTCTTTGAATACAAACTTAATGTCAAAATTGTTTGCATTATTGAAGAGTTGAGTGAATGGAGAGACAGATAGCGACTGATTTCCCATTGAATGCCTGTCAAAGTCACCATTGGATGAGTTCTTCGTCAAAGTCTGGGAATCATTGATGACTGGAAGCGATCGGCGGATGTCTTCGCCGTAAAGTTTTGCGATTTTCTCAAACTTTGGACTAATTTTGCCAATTTGTGGATCAATTCCATAGAGATATCCAATGAATGCTTTGAATTCTTCGTACGGATAGGTATTGATGTGAACGTCTTGTGTGTCGGCACACAAGTGCTGTTCAATCTGTTGCCAAAGATGTCGGTTCCGTATCTGAAGAATAGTTTTATGACAATAAATGATTCGGTCTTTGATTATGATCTTCAGATCAGACGTCTCGCGACTCTTATAGGATTCCCGCAAATGTTTGATCACTTGTTTCTCGGCCGACGACCGCAACTCATCGCCCGTTTTGTCAACACTTCGGCCAAACACTGACCACTCATTTGCGGCCAAATCTTTGCTCAAATACCGGACGCAGAGGTCGTTAAGCGGTTTGTCCTGAAAAAGGGCCGCCATTTTGAGGACACCCTCTTTGTTGCGGTCAGTGATCTTCGGCACCAATCCATACATGTGTTGAATGAACGCATAGATAGTGTGATAACAATCACATGTGATGTGAATCTCATTATTTGATCCCAACTTCTGTTCACAAAACCTCCAAAACCTCTCATTTCTGATCGCAAGAAGTTTTCGGTGACAATGAATGACAGACTTGTCGTCGAAAACAAACTTCAAGTCATAATCGCATCGATTGTCAAACGCTTTCTCCAGACATGACTTCAATTGATCCATAATTTTGTGGTCAAAGAGACGACAATTGACTTCACTTTTCATTCAAAAACACAAAAACTATTGAAATGTGTTTTCAATTCACAAAACAATTCACACTTTCTTTACAACACTTAACGCATGCGCTGTCAGTACCACTGTTTTGCTTTTTATGATAAACACGTGTTTTAATTTACTGTTAAAACTTTTAAAGCAAATCATTTAACAAACTTTTGATTGAGTATTGATTTAATTGTTGTTATCATTAATTGTTTCAATCATTTTGTGTGAAAAATGTGTGAAATCTATAGCAAAAACTCTTTCGATAGATTTGGAGACGACTTATGCCAAGAGTTGTTGTCTTTCATCACATTTGAAGACAAATTCAGATATGAATTGGTGTCCAAACAGTGGAAGCGATTGATATTCAACAGACAATTTGTTGTAAACATTGACCACAAATTAATTCACAGAAATTTGAATATAATTGAGAAAATATTGATAAAGTGTCCAAACATTACACGTATTTATCGCGATTACAATCGTGTAATCGTAATGAACGAGTCATTCGTTGATTTGCTTATAAAACATTGCAAACAATTAAAAGTAATGACTTATGGATTCAGTAAAAACTCAATTCATTTAATGGAGAAATTTGTGTCAAATTTCGCCAAACAATTGCAATTCATCTCATTATATGATTTTCAAAATACTCTTATGAATGACATTTTGTGTCAAAAATGGTCAAAAAAGTGTAGAAATTTAACTGCAATTTATACACCATTTAATTCATTGTCGAAAACACCGCTTGTATTGAATCCTGAAAATGGTTTGCATTATAAACGACTCAAAAGTATTGACATTGATTTCAATGACTTTCTTTTTGACACAATTATTGACAACAAATTTAATGCATTTGAATTGTTTGCTCACAATTACGGCCACAATATTAAGTCAATTGACTTAACATTTGGCTCTCTTATTAATAATAGAGGATTTGGTTTACATATTCGTATCGACAGTAAGTTTTTTGTCAAACTATCGGATGGTTTGTCACAAATGCCGGCTTTGATTGAACTCAAAGTCCGGTTCATTCACAGCGAACTAATTGTATCAATTGTGCCGCCAATTGGTCTCAAATGTCCGCAACTCAAGAGTCTCGGCATTTATTTAAATCCTGAGCTGTTATTCAGCAATGATTTGGTGTTCAACACAATTGTCCCAAACTTTAAACATTTAAAGCGATTGGAAATGAATGGATATTTTGACACACAATTAACGAGCGATTCATTTAAACCATTGAAACGATTAACACATTTGACGTTCAATCATCACTTTCCCAACAATTCAAACAAATCTCAAATTATGGACACTTTTGCCGCTAATATTCACAGACATTTACCACAACTTCTGGATCTGAAACTAAGTCGAGTGATAATAACCGACAAAGTGTTGAATGCATTGTCAAGACTGACACAAATCCGTTGCATTCAACTCATGGGCACTAATAATGCGACCAAAAGAGTGGTCAATAATCTGATCACTGATTGTCCCGAAATGAGCCTTAATTTACTTAATTAGCGAATCCATGTCTACAGAAGTTGTGTCACTATTGTTATTAATTATTGCTCTAATTATGAATACTTTTTTAACGATCCTTTTAAATGAAACAATTTTATTGTATTCAACACATTATATAACAAATATTTTATAATTATCTTATTATTAATTGTTTCAAAATTAAGTAAAATATGTTTTATAAAAATAATGATTTTTAAATCTGTTGTCATATTATTAACAATAAATTCAATATTAAAAACATTTTCTGGTTATTGAATAAATTTTTAAATAATAATTTTAATTAATTTTTGCAATAAAAGTGGTGAAAATTATTGAATAAAATTTTTAAACATGTGATTGATTTAAAGTAAAACAAAATCATATCAATAAAAATGTCTCAAATGTTGTCTTTATATGAATTGTCTCTTAAATTGAAAACTAATTTTTGTGACAATTAGTGAAGAGATTATTGACTGCTATTTGTCTGCCATTCAAACAGAAGTCAAGTCTATATTCGAGACGTTATTAATGTGTGAATAAAAAATGAGTCAATATTTGATTCACATTTCAATCAAAACATTCAAACAATCACTTCATTTGATCCCAAGATATGGCGCAACACATGAAACACTTGAAGACATCAGTCGTGACCACAGATGTCAGCAATGAAGACGACGACAGACAACAGGTATTTGACAAACAATTGACTGTTTATTGAATTTAAGTGTTTTTGTCTCACATTTTAGCCCCGAATCTACGCCAAGAACTCAATGGACAGATTCGGTGATGATTTGTGTCAACTATTGTTGTCTCGTCTCTCACTTAAGAACCGATTTCTGTTTCAATGCGTGTCTAAACAGTTCCGGAGGACAGTCTTCGGGAGTGTTGTCGACATTGATATGAAAGAGAAACTCATAAAAGGAGACAACAATACAAAGACTCCAATCATCGCAACAATGAATAAAGTGATCAAAAAGTGTCCAAACATTGAGTGCATTGACTTTCGAGGACTCGAAGACAACAATCAATACATTCTCGAAGTTTTGCCCGAAATTCGACACAAAATCCCGAAATTGCGGGAAATTTATTGCAATTTAATGTCAAACAGCGAGCGATGGGTCCGACAGTTGGCACCACTCGTCACACGAATCCGTAATCCCTTGTCCTCACAGAAAGAGTCACTCATTCATTGCCACCGATTGTCTAAACTGAGTGTCAAAGACTTGGCTGATGTCTTCGACACCACTTCTGGACAATTATTGGCCAATAATTTAAGAGCATTTGTGTTGAAAGGGAGCGCTAATAGCCAACAATTGTCCGCATTCTTGGCCGGCAATCAGTGCCTCAGATTTCTAATCATTATTAAATACAATTTGGAGAGTTTGACACAATTTGGTCAACAATTGTCACAATTAACGCAATTACGGGTTTTGGTGATTAAATTACTGCATTTCGACCAAACATTGAACGACTCTTTGCGGACAATTGGCGTGAATTGCAAACAATTGAGAGCTTTAGTGTTGAAATTGGGCACAACTACTACTGATATCAATGTCCAGACATTGGATTCGCTGGAAATGTTCGGCCGATTAAAACGACTGCATTTAGCTCTCATCGGATCCAACACTCAATCGTTTGAGCTCTCAATTCCCGGCAAACGATTAACTCATTTATTGATTGAATGCCCGAAAATAGACTGCAAATTATTGGGCAATTGTCGCAAACAATGGCCACGACTTCAGTATCTAATCATTAAATGTCAACATTTTAACGACAAGTGTTTGGATCACATCTCGAGACTACGGACTCTGCAATCACTTGTCATTCAATGCGATCACAACATCGATGTCTCAGATAATGATTTCTACAATCTTTTGGCCACAAATCCTAAGCTCAAGAACATTGAAATCCATGCAAACAATGAGAAGAAGTTTTACTGCCGTTCAATGTGTTAATTGTATTTAAATTACTGTTTAGTTTAATATTTTTCATAACTTTATATCTAATGATAATTTGGGAAATAATTTGAATTTAATTTTTACTCTAATTTTTCTGTATTAAAATATCAGTGGTTTTAATAAATCATATCTTAATTAATTAAATTGAATACAATTTAACAAACATTAAAATAAATAAAAATTTAATTAAAAAACAATTTGAATTAACAAATATTGTAATTAACAAAATTATAGTGCATTTCAGATTAAAAATTACAAATAATTAAGAACTAAATACACGTTTAATGATTTTTAAATAATTATAGATTTAACTCAAAACCATTTTGTGGACCTTTTTTAAGTGTGAATTCAGCGATGGTTTAGAAAAATAGCTTTTATCACATCCATTAAAATAGCATTTATGGGGACGAATGCCCTGATGTTCATTCATATGGGCCTTAAGACACGAGTTATAGGCAAACGTCTGGTCACATTCGGGCCAATGACAGACATACGGGTGTTTGTGATTGTTTTTATGGGTGTTTAATATACTTCTGGTCGCATAACATTTGCCGCAACCGGCAAACGGACACTTGTACTCGCGTTCGCCGGTATGTGTGCGCCGGTGATCGGCCAGATGTGGACCCAATTTGTAAGCGGACTCACATCCGGGCCAATCGCACCGATACGGGCGCTCATCGCTGTGACACAGCTTATGTCTATTGAGAGAATCCTTTCTGTGAAAACTCTTCCCGCAATCGGTCTCTTCGCACACAAATGGCCGCACATTCTGGTGCTTCAGTTCATGGCTCACAAAACTTGATCTACTGTTACTGCCGTACGAACAGTCGCTGACATCGCATTTAAACCTCTTATTGTCCGACCCGTCGCTGTGTTCATCGCGGGTGTGGTGTTTGCGCTTGTGATTAGTCAAAGTGTTGGCCTGTTTATAGGCGGACTCACATCCGGGCCAATCGCACCGATGCGGCCGTTCATCGCTGTGCGACCGCATGTGTCTCATGAGGTCGCCGTTAGTGATAAAACTCGCCGCACAGTCGGTCTCTTCGCAGACAAACTCTTTGATATTGAGGTGACGTTTCTTGTGATCATTCAAAGCACTCGAACCCGTGGTCTCAAACTCACAGCCAATGAAATCGCATTTAAACACTTTCTTCACAATCGGTTCCAATGAGTGCTTTTGCCGCCGATGTTTGCGAAGATGACTACACGACTGGAACCATTTAGGACAGTCGTGACACGCAAATGGCCGAACGCCTTTGTGCACCTGATCCATGTGTCGCTTCAGTTTCCATAAAGTCGTAAAGTCTTTCCTACAGTCAGGCCATTGGCACCGATGCGGCCGTTCATCGCTGTGCGGCCGCATATTTCTCTTGAGGTCGCCGTTAGTGACAAAACTCGTCGTCTCTTCGCAGACAAACTCTTTGATATTGAGATGACTTTTGCGGTGTCGACGCAAACTCCCGGAAATGTTGGTCTCGAACTGGCAGTCATTGTGATCGCATTGAAACACTTTCTTCACAATCGGTTCCAATGAATGCTTTTGCCGCCGATGTTCGCAAAGACTGCTCTTCTTTGCAAACCGTTGCGGACAGTCGTCACACTCGAATTGCCGAACGCCTTTGTGCACCTGATCCACGTGTCTCTTAAGCAACCATTTAGCCATAAAGGCCTTCGCACAGTCAGGCCATTGGCAGCCATAGGGCGGCCCCATATCGTCGGTGTCATTGAAGTGTCCGCTTTTGTTTTGATGTATTTTGAGAGCCCTCTCGTGCATAAAACTCCGGCCGCAGTCGTCGTAACCACAGAAAAGGTCAGATGTTTTGTGACTCTCGCGATGGCTGTCAAGTAGTGACTGATTGATGGCCCGAAAGTCGCAGTCTTCGTAATCGCAGGCAAACAGCTTAAGTGGCAGAGAAGTAGACAGATCTGTGAAACGGTCTGCTTTGTCGGCCATTTGTTGCCTCAAAACAGACGCAGACATTACAAGAGCCGACTCTCCTTCCCCTTCGTTCACCTCTTCCTTCACAACCACTTCTTCAGGTATTGGCCACTCATTCGTGTCCGCAATATATCCGTCCTCTTGAGTGAGAAATGTGTCCGCAATTGAGTGATTGATGGCATGTATTTCAGTGACCAGAGGACAGATATCGGTAGTGACTGTGCGGTCGGCGATGTATTCATCGGTGATAATTGGTTTGCAATCCGTGTCGTCCGTCTCCTTCTTAATCTCTTTCTCGTCATTAATGTTGTCAACACATCCATCACTTCCGGTGTCTGCCTCTATAATCTGCCTGTCATTTACAATGTCATCGGCGGTCAATGGCTTGTCTTCAGTTGACTCGATGTCACATTCCTTCTCTTCCTTCACGACAACCATTTCTTCACGTATTGCCCACTCATTCGTGTCCTCAATATATGCGTCCTCTTGAGTGCCGTTTCGGTTCACTATTGACTGATTGGTGGCAACAATTTGGGTGATTAGTGGCCACATATGGGCGGCAGTAGTGGTGGTGTCGGCGCCCATAAGTGCCGTTTGTTGAGCGCATCCATCGGTGATAACAGTCTTGTACTGAGTCTCCAGGGATTCAATTAAGACCTCATTATCGGACTTTCTGGACATTTAATCGTCAATTCATTAATTAAAATTTAAATCATAATTCAAACCAAACTTTGTTTTCTTTTCGCACAAAACTGTTTGTAAACAAAACTCGAGTCAAGATATCATTCAATGATTACATTATTAACGTATTGTACATGAATATAAATTAAGCACTGAATTAAACGGTAATTAACTTTTGATTGTAATTACAATTCAATTATAAAGTGTTACTAAATTAATCAAAAGTTACTGTTATTTATTTCACAACACTTACTGTTTATACCCTTATCTAAGGGTGGAGTCAATAGAGGGCGCGAATGAGAGAGCATTGCATTCAGTTTTGTAACAAACTTTTGTTGACTACTGTTTTGTTTTGAATGACACGTGTTTTGGTTCATGTATTGATTTAATTGTTGTATTAATTGTTTGTTTCAATCATTTTATGAAAAATGTGTCAAATCTATAGCAAAGACTCTTTCGATAGATTTGGTGACGATTTTTTTTAAATGATTGCAATGTTTTATAAGTAAATTCATTAATGAATCGTATATATAAATTGATGGATTGTCTATGTCTATTTGGTGACGATTTGTGCGAAGAGTTGTTGTCTTTCCTCACATTCAAAGACCGATTCCGTTGTGAATGTCTATCAAAACAGTGGCAAAGAGTGGTATATATGAGACAATATGTGTTAAAACTTAATATTCGCGTATTTAGAAATAATTTGGATATAATTGAGAAAATACTGATAAAGTGCCCAAACATTACACTTGTTTGTTGTAAAGACATAGACAATCCATCAATTTATATATACGATTCATTAATGAATTTACTTATAAAACATTGCAATCATTTAAAAAAAATTAAATATGTACTCGATGAGCGTTACTTGAAAGTTAGCAAGGTGTTTATGGCACACTTTGCTAAACAATTGACTTTTATATCACTAAATGATTATATGGTCACAAATGGGTTGATGTATGAAATGCTTGAAATGTGTATTAATTTAACGACAATTAATATACCGTTTAAAATGTTGTCGATTACACCGCTTGTATTGAGTGCGAAAAATGGTTTGCATTATAAACGACTCAAAAGTATTGATTTGGTTTTCGGTATTTATTGTCATTTGAATGCAGAAGATTTGAATGCATTTGAATTGTTTGCTCACAATTACGGCCACAATATTAAGTCAATTGGATTTGATTTCAGACATATCGACATTAATGTGATTAACAGACTCTCAGATGTTTTGTATAAATGTTTGCCACAAATGAAGGCATTAATTGCTCTCAAATTTATTTTAAACGTAAGAAGAGATGACAACTTAATTGATGACGACATTGATTATGAAAATCGGTTCGCAATACGTGATAAAATTGTCTTATTTTTGTCGCGAATTGGTCTCAAATGCCCACAACTCAAAAGCCTTAGCATTTATTTCGATACAAATTGTATTTATTATACAATTACTGATGAAATGATTAAAACAATCGCCGAAAACTTCAAACAATTAAAACGTTTAGAAATATACGGAATTTTTGATAAGAAAGTGACGACAAATTCATTGAAATCATTGCAACGATTAACACATTTAAGTATAGATATGGAAAGCACATGGGATGTCGATAACGACGACTTCTTCGCTAATATTCACAACAATTTACCACAACTTCTGGATCTGAAGATCGAAGGAGTGGTCATAACGGATGAAGTGTTGGATTCAGTGTCAAAAGTGACACAAATTTGTTTTGTTCAACTCTTTGGCTCAATATATGCCAACAATTATGAAAAAGTAGATAATGTGTTCATTAATTGTCCCAAAATTACTCTTAGATTAAGTGAAAATTCTCCTCAAAATGGTTTTCATGTCTTAATACATGGTTTTCATTGAAACCAATCCCTTACATATGATATGCTTTTGTTTTATTGTATACCATATGCCTTATTATGTGTTAACCTTGATTAAGACTTACATATAATCGTATCAATAATTATTCCCAAATTTAAATAATTAAAAATGGTTTTTGAAATAAAAATTAGAAATAACTATTTTGTCTCAATTGTTAATTTTCATTAAACAAATACTTTTCACATTCAATATTATCTAAGAGCGAAGTCAATAGAGGGCGAGAATGAGAGAGCATTGCATTCAGTTTTGTTGACTTCGGTTTTGCCTTGAATGACAAACACGTGTTTTGATTGAGTTGTGATTTAATTGTATTAATTGTTTATTTCAATCATTTTGTGTGAAAAATGCCACAAATGTATAGCAAATCATCTTTCGATAGATTTGGTGACGATTTGTGCGAAGAGTTGTTGTCTTTTCTCACATTTGAAGACCGATTCCGTTG